TGTCACCCCATGCATGCCCCCACCATTGGCCATTTCTCTACTGTTAAACGGCTACTTCGCTTTGTCAAGGGTACTCTTCATCATGGTCTTCAGTTTTCTCCTAACACTTTTGATCTTCATGCTTTTTTCGACTCTAATTGGGCAGGGGATGTTCTTGACCGAAAGTCTACTTCTAGTTATTGTATTTTCTTGGGTTCCAATCTTATTTCATGGTCTACTAAGAAGCAAACTACAGTTTCTCGTAGTTCTACTGAAGCTAAATATAGAGCCCTTGCTCACACCACTGCTGAGATTTCTTGGCTTCTTATGCTTCTTCATGATCTTGGCATTTCACCTCCGACTATTCCTCTTCTTTGGTGTGATAACGTTTCCACCATTGCTCTTACTTCAAATCCTGTTTTCCACTCTCGCTCTAAACACATCGAAGTTGATTGTCACTTTATTCGTGACAAAGTCCTTGCTAAACAAATTAGTTTGCAATACATTCCTACTATGGATTAGTTGGCCGATATGTTTTACTAAACCCCTCTCTGTTGGTCGCTTTTCTTATCTTAAAACCAAGCTTATGGAGTTCAGTCACCCCATCAGCTTGCAGGGGCCTGATAAGATACATAGCAGCAGCTCCAACATCAGGTGTAGATCCTCATCCATGCAGGTGCAGTAACCGAATCAGCTCCAGCTAGTTAGTTAGGAATCTGTTAAAGTGTTTGTTAGTATGCACGTGTAACAGATTAGATTAGTTATGGATTAGTTGTAATCATCTGATATGTATATAACCATCATGTACTCATCAAGATTGATATTGAATAATGAATTGAATATTTCATCAGCTTGGTTGTATTTTTTCAAAAATACTTTTGAAAAAACTCTACATTCTTGTTTTTCATGTTTTTTTATTTTTACTGAATTTTTTTTTACTTTTTAAACATACATAAGATAAATATACCTAAAAAGTAAAAAATTTGTGAAAGAACCTTTTAAAAATTCACTAAATACAAAAAAATACAAAAAAAAATACGAGAATTCAATACATTTTTTGTATTTTTATGTATTTATTAAATTTTAAAAATATTTTTTCACAAATTTTTTACTTTTTAGATACATCTAAGTAAGGTGCATCTAAAAAAGTAAAAAAGATGTTTAAAATTTTAAAAATATTCACTAAAAATAAAAAAACACGAAAACCAAAAAACTCTTGTTTGGGGACTGACTATTTTAGCCAAAAAGCTAAAAAGCCAACTAAAACTAGTCACATCACCTCTCTACTTTTTTGCACTTCTTTTCGTAAAAAGCCAAAAAGTTACTAAAATAGCCTGTTCCCAAACGAGTTTTCAAAAAACTTAATTCAAAAAACTCAAACAAAACACACTGAATATTATTTTACCACTATGTATAAACTAGAGTTTCTAAACCCTACCAAATAGAGAGTTTTGAAACCCTAACACAATAAAACAATACCACAAATGTGAATGAAATTGATCAAAAAGAAAAACGTGAATAATGGTAACTACCAAAATAGAGGTAAAAACAAAAAGGAAATGCATATATCATTTTTTTATGTAATACAAATCAACAATAGACATAAGGGTATAATAGTCCAAGAAATAATATAAATCAGCAAAAAAAGACCTCATGAAATAAAAGTATAAATAAATTGAATTAATTAGGTTATAATTTTTCTTGGTGGACTTATTGGGTTAGAACACCTCCAAATGAGATTTATCAATAAAAAACTCATTATTTATAAGTTGCCATTCTTCAAGTTTTCATTACAATAATTATTTTTTTACACAAGAATTCTAAAATTTTATTTTAATATAATGCTAAAATAATTATTTGAAATAAATGCATAATTTTCTATGTCTGTATATCTACCTCTTCTTTTCTTTTCTTATTTTGTTTTTATTTTTAATTTTGTTAATATTTTATAGAGTTAAAAGGAAATTTAAAATGCTTACTGCATTAAAAATTTACATGAACCCTACCTATGAATTTCTATTTCTTCTCAATTTAGTTTTATTTTATAAGTTTAATTTGACATTTTATGATATTGATTATAATAATTAATCAACTCTACCATTAAAAAATTCACATGGATCTGATTTTAAATCCTACCCATTACAGTATTTGAAAAAGAAATTAAAATGTAATGGATGATATTTTTTCCTTTTTCTGGAGGGAGAGGAAATAGCCTATTAATTTTATGATACCATTATTTAAATAAATAAATAAATAACAATATAAAAGTTACTATTTGACACGTAAAGTATGAGTATGAGTATTTAAAAATAAAGATTATTTAATTTTGAAAATACACAATTTTTTAAAGATTATTCAATTTAAAATGTGTAACTCACTTTTTATATAAAAGTTTTGGAAGGACCAATATTCAAGAGAATTTAATAAATTTTCCATATATACCAAAATTTTGTAAAATAATTTTGAATTGTAAAAAAAACTATATTTGCTTTTCTTATATACCTGTTTACTAACCATGGTTTTTGTGTATTTTAAAACATTGCTTTTTTCTATCAGCAAAAAATCTTTATTGATAAAAAGCTAGTTTGCTTTTTTGAGATTGTTTAGTTTTATTTTAATACTTTGTGCGCTTGCATTTCTTTTATTGATATTTGTATTAATATTTTCTTTTTTCAGTGATAGAAAAGTATCAAATATGTGTATTATTACACTTTATAAATTCAAATTTTTTAAAAAAAAATTAATGGTATCTTTCAAATCCAAATCTGAAGACCTATTTTGCTATATAAAATAGTAACTATAAAGAGAGATAAATAAGAAAGAGATTTGCAAATATATGATATGAGTAATAACATAAACAAAATGGTATACGTAATCGGTATACGAAATTACATTGGGACTTACATTTTAAAACAAATAATTCATCGAAATGACATTAATGTCATTTCTCGTTTGAAAATATATTATTTTAATAATTTTTTAACTAAAATATGAGATAAATTTTTTTTATATATTTGGAATGACTTTTTAATTTTTTATGAAAAGATATGTAAAAAAATAAAGAGAAAAAGGAATACTTGATTTTTTGATATAAATTATAGACTTTTTAAATTTTTTAATAATTTTTAAACTAAAACTATTAATTTCCAAACGAGACCTAAATTACCCAAATAACTTCACACAATTCTGATAGAAAAATTCTATAAAAATAAAACTTCCATCAGATATAAGAAGTGCAACCGCAAAACATTTGAGCCGGTTCCTCTCTGGGGATCGTTCTTTTTTCTTTCTCCGGAGTTCATATCTGAAATGGTGAAAGAAAGCCTTGAATTCCACGCACATGCAAACATTTGCATTGCTCTTTCCGTCGAAAACAGTAATCCAAAGGTGTTGATTTCCATGCAAAGCCTTGTCAAATAACCAGTCCTTGCTTATTATACCTCACATTCGTCGTTTATTCGACCTTAAAATAGATCAAAAATGTTTCGTGTGTGTGTGTATATATATATAAATAGTTGAACGCAGAACTCTTCCTATATACTGAAAAATAAAATAAATAGTTAGCTGCGAAGGTTAGGCTTGACCCAAGAGATAAGTATACAAGCAACCACTACATCATCCACCTCTCGGAGTGGCAGCTGCTCTCCACTCTTGGAAGGGCTGTCTGATCTGTCTATTATTTTCTCCTGCTTTTGTACTTTTCTTTGAGCGTAGGTTTCTCACCAACTAGGAGGTTGGAGCTTGTTATAGCTCCAAGCTCTTCTTTATTGATGTAAATTTTCCTTTCCATCAATAAAGTCTTTTTTTGCCGATCAAAAAAAAATGACATTTATGTAAAGCTATTACCATGTCATTTACTTTCTAGTTTTTTAACCAAATCTAATTAGAAGTACCATGTGTTTAGAAAAGAAATTGAATGTATTTTTGTGCAGCAAAGAAAAAATTTATTGAATTACTTAATGGAATTAAATGAGTACAAAAGCAGCCCACTCCAATAACATCAATAAACAAAGTGGCCAACTAACAGAAAAACCTCTAAAAACATAAAAATAAAAGCCTCTCAACTAAATCCTAAATAGCTGTGTCAGAATACGTAACGGAATCAATTAAATTTAACCTGTGAATCATGTTTTGTATTAGTATTGGTTATCATCTTGGGAGTGGGGCAGTCAATTTTGAGGCCTCTCAGGTACATTAATCTTCACTTTCAATTCATTCCCAGCCCTAACCTTGAAACACAACCACCACATGACAGACAGACCTAAAATTTATATAACCAAATTGGGTGGCTCAAAATAGTACCAAGTTGCTTCTTATTTTCTTAGAGCAATCTATATTAACATTTTTAACTGTATCAACTATTTCATTTAGTATATATTACCATGTTATGAAGTGCGGATTTTTTTTTGTTGTCTTTTTTGGTATGGAACACAACGGGACATAGAAGGGGACACGGAAAGCCCTAAATCGAATCCCTAATTCGAACAAATCCAAAATCAGAAGAAAAAAAAAGAGAGAAGAGAAATGTAGAACATGTTCAAGAAAGGCATTCGATCGATCTCGCCATCAAGTTCCATCTCCATTAAGCGCCATCTACAGTCCGGTAAATCTCTCTCACCTCTTGTCTTGTCCCGCCTCTCATCTCTCTCATCCTGTCTCACTAATCATCTTTCTCTTGCTTCGTCTTCTATCGTCGTCTCTCTCTCTCTTTGGTTATCTCTCTATCTCATTTCTGTCATCTGTCTATCTATAATAAATACGGGAAATACTATCATATACTATTTATAAAAAAAATATATTATATGTATATTTTATATTTCTCTTTAAATCAGTTTCTTTTCTATTTATTTATTTATTTAAATGTAGTGGTTTATATATATATATATTGAATCAATATTAGTTTTATTAATTTTGATTATTTAGTAATATAATATTAATTTACATTGCAAATACATATACATATATATTTTTAAAAAAATTAGCATGTTCCTCGCCGTATGCGTGTCTCTATTTTTTTTTTAAAATTACCGTATTCATATTCATATCCGTACTTCATAGTTACCATGTCTAGAGTGTCGAAGCAAAGACAAAAAATTTATATATATGGATATTTAAAACATTAAACTACATGCATTTTGACAGTGGAAAAAAATTTATGTAATTGAAGGCATAGTTTTACATATCGGCCGGTATTCATACCGGAAAATTATAGCACTGATTCGGAGATAGATTGGTATATCGGTGAGAATGAAATTCATAGTTGTAGCGTCCGAGTCTCGGTACGTAGCGGCGTGAATTCGATACATGGGCCGATACAGTCTGATACTTTCTCTGCTTCTGTTGTTGTGTCGTTGCGTGAATTAGTCTCTATTTTTCTTCTTGTTGTGCTCTGTTTCTATTTTTTTTTTTTTTTTTTTTTTTTTTTTTTTTTTCATTGATCTGAAGCTGAATTTGTCTGGGTTTGGCAGGATTCTGCAACTTCCAGTCAACATTTTGAGAGAGAGAGAGAGAGAGAGAAAGAGAGAGAGAGGATAGGATTGTTTGTGGTTGTATTATGGTATGGGAGTCTGAGATTGAAATGGATATACATGGAGGTGCATTGGGAGTCTGAGATTGAAATGGGTAAGAAGAGAGAGGTACTTGGGTACATGGAGGTGCATGGGTTTATGGTGGATTTGTAGATTGCAAATGCTTAACGTTTTTTTATTTTATTTTATTTTATTTTAATTTTTTAATTTTTTTTTACACCTACATCTCTATTTATATTAATATATATGTTTATTTTTTTCTCAGTACAAGTAAAAATAAATATTCAAATCAATTTTTTTATTAAAAGTTTAACATATACCAAAAATAAATACATATCATTTAGTTAAAAATGAGTCAACAACACTCTTACATAACAAAATTTTGATTAAAGTATAACAAATTAAGGTTAGAAGAGTCAAAAAAAAATGCATAAAATTCAGTTTTAGAGAGATTGCTAATGATTTTTAAAATTTCACAATCGTGGCACCCGATTTTCAATACGTACCGGCCGATACTATTGATACCAATACTCTGCAATCGATACCGTTATATTAACCGATACCGCGATTTAGAACTATGATCGAAAGTTTGTAAACATATGAATCGAGACCCAGAAAAGGAAAGTGTCAGAAGGTTGCATATTGTCCCCTACAGGTCTTTTGTTTTCTTGAACGAATGGTTCCCTAAAGGTCACATCTACAAAAACAAATACAATCCTGTACGTTTACCCAATATGGAAATGGGGAAAATCTCTCTATTGAGGTACATTTAACCATGAACTTACCTACCCTCTCTGTTTAATTTACCATGAACTTACCTACCCTCTCTATTATTAGCAGTATGGAAAGTGGACTTTCAGCTTCAGGTACTTTATGTGCCCAAAAAGCAGTAAAGCTTTAAGTTAATAGTTTAAGGGTCATGTTAATAGTAGTTGATTTTTTTAATAACTTCGTATTTGGTTTATTGGGTTGACTAGTTTAGAAAATTAATTCCATCGTTCACTTGTGACATTTCAATTAAAATCATGGCAAAAAATCCGTATGAACTATTTTTAAGAAATTATTTGCACTTTTGAACCTAAAATTTGGAAGGAATATACTCTCAAGTTCCAAATCTTGACCACTGGATTAACCCTTAAGATTGTTAATAGTAGTTAATTACAAACAATGAGTCTTCAAAATGGTTTAAAATGTAAATAATTATATTCTCATGCATGGTAATACAAGTCATTAGTTACAAAGTGGTTATAAATTAAATCATTACTAAAATTAGTTAAACAATTAATGCATGTAATTTAATAAACAATCAATGCATACAATTTAATCAGTGTGATAAAAGTAGGAATGTAGTAAAATCAACACTAGTTAATATGGCATTAAATACGCTTTAACAATTGTCTCAGGATTTCTAGGCACTGGTTAACATTAGATATAATTAAATATATACATAACTAGGCATCTAAACATTAAAAGTAACGACTGGACAATCTTTCAATGATCTTTTGGGATGACTTCAATTTGAAATCTTAAATCTTACCGTTAAATTGTTACTACGCGACGAACTATTTAGGGGTAGTCATAGGTTAATTTAGAATATTACTCACTCAAATTCTTGCCTTCCGATACTCAAATTCTTGCATCCCTATAGTAATTGTACTTTCCATTTGCAAGTTTTTTACTTCTCTTAATGATGTATTTCGTTTTCTCCCTACTAATGTAATTCTTCCGTCTTACATATATCGGATAATCAAGCATAAGTACTATAGTTGGGGAATTGCCCCAAAGGGTCAAGCCCTTTATAAGATTCAAACTAATGAACACCACTTCTTGAAGCACTTATCCTGGCTACTCAGCTATCCCTTAGATTATGTATCTTCTATATACGTGTTGGAAGGTCGCCAAGGATGCCCCACTTTCATCTTCTGCCTGACATTCCACTACTCACTCATCATTCATGGAAGAAGCATTTTACAGACAGACGCACATACAATGTCCATTCAATGCATCAACCAACTTTCTACCTATACATCAAACCTTCACCTAAAGCATGCATTTGTGAAAAAGTTTTCAGAGATTAACCAAACCTATTAAACTACTTGGGCTTTGTGAAAAAGTCTTGTTCTCTCCTCCAAGAAGATACCCGGATGATAATTTCCTAACACTGCAAAGTACAAACGACAGTTATTCACATAATTTGAAGCATCTTGTCATGAGATTAGAGAAGTGTGTGTACTTAACCCATGCATGTACTCCTGCAGCAGTTTAAGCTTTTTAGAGATCTCAGACTAAACTTCAAAATAAGGCTTTATCTAATTAAGCCTTTGAAAAATTGAGACCTTAAGCAACTGTCTTAGTGGTCTAATGTGGGGACTAATGATCTCTTAAAGCCACACCGTACGGTGTTGTTCAATGCTAATTTATAGATGTTCACCCTCTATTTCTTGCACCGGTGTTGATAATCTCATTCGATGGCTATATCAAAACCAAGAGCTTTCCGAGCCATGGAAGTATCGTCATATTAATACGGCCATGCTGGTTTTCCTTACATGCAATAAACCTCTGAGCGATCTGTTTACAACAAATACATCTTTTATTTCAATTGAACATGTTTACTGTAGACAAAATAACATTTTATTAACAGATCTATACACAAACTAAGGCTTTGGTTGAAATAATTATACATAGATCTATATCTAATTCTATTTCTCGGGTTAATAACAAATTTTTTTTCCGATTAAAAAAAAAAAACTTTGGGTGTGTTTGGTTTGGGTTTTGAAATAAATTTTTAAAAAAAAAATAGGAGAGAGAATTTCGAAATTTTTTTGGTTTGTTTGGTTGTATATTTTGAAAATAGTTTAGAGTTTGAGATGATTTAATATTTTGTTATACTTGAATAGATGTATATGAGAGAAAAAGTGATTGAGAAAGAGAGAGAAGAAAAAAAAAGTGATTGATTGATATGTAGAAGAGAGAAAGTGATTTTGAAAAAAGATTTCAAAAAATTTGAACTACACAAAATTTTAAAAAAATTTCTCAAAAATTATATCTTGAGGTACAAATCAAACAAGCCTTTTATATCCAACCTGTGCTCGATGACCTTCCTTTTCATTGCACTAGCAAGTGATATCCACAGTTGTAACTAAAACCATAAAGTTTTCTATGAGATTACTCCTTATACCTAATACCTAACTATATATATCATATATGAACAAATATATATATATCATATATGAACAAATATTAAGTGTAACGATGACTCAATCTTATGCACATAGGCATAAAATTTACCGCTGCACCTCCCAACGACACGAGGAGTCTTCTTTGATGAAAACTGGCATGATCAGAGTTCAACAGAGAGCGAAAGAGACACTAATCAATGTTGAGTTATGTTAGATCATAGTATTTATATCAATTATAAGTAGGTTTTTTTTTTTTCTTCTTATCGACCATGAGTTCAAGGTCGAACAGACAACGAAACAAAGGCTAACCGCAAAAGACTGCTCACTTGACAAGCCTAGCAAGGAAACCACTCACCCTTTTGCTGATCAAACACATATATCCCACCGTCGAATAATTCTATGTCAGTGAATTATCAACTTATTATAAGTTATAACCCATCTGCAAAACAATCAAAGCAAGTCTGATAATCAATCTAAAAAGTCTTGAATATAGTAACCTAAATTTGATGAACAGAAGACGAAGAAAAAGAAGAAGAAGAAAGCAAAGAAAACATACCTCGTCCTTCTTAGTGGGAGACTGAGTTAAATCAATGGGGTCTGTCTTTTGGAAATGTGTAAGGTGATTATATAGATGATAAGATAAAAAATCAAGGGATTGAAGCGTGTGAGTTGTGTAGTTTTTTTCGTATCCGCTACCTCTGGCACGTGAGAGGAGGTTTGACTCATAGGTGACATAATGAGGAAAACAATCGTGCATGTGCATATCCCCTCTCTCCGGAACAACTCCTACCAAGAACGAGAGAGAGAGAGAGAGAGTGCGGAGAATTTATTCCATGTCCCAAGGGCATGGCCATGTTGTGGTTGAAGTCGACTGTGATTGGTAAAATTTGTGGAATTCATAAATTTGTGTTGGTAATTAGGGTGACAATAAGGTGTTAACATTTGATGATTAGTTAATGATATGTGGCCCGTTTGGTGTAGCTGTTAAAACAGCTTATAGATTATAGCTTAACAGATTATAGATTATGATTTTAATTAGAAGTTGTTAATCTGTTTGGTGTAATTGTTGGATTATAAATTTAAGTTGCTGAGTAGTGTTTGTTAAATAAACTGTGAAATAGCTTTTTCAATTAATTTTTATTTTTTGTTTGTCTACATTTCTCATAAAAAATAATAATAATAATCTATGTCCATTTTAGTCTTTTTCTATTTTTTAAAAAATAAAAAATAAAAAATTTAAGAGTATAACCATAAATTAACATGTCCACAGCAGAAGCTGATAATCAGAAGCAAGGGGTGAGCAGCTTCTCAGAATCAGCTTTTTTGAGTTAAAATAAGCTGTTAGAATCAGAAGCTGTTTGAAATAAGCTTAATCAAACAGTCCAAAATAACTTTTTCAAAGCTAAAAGCCATAAGTTAGCTCTGAAAAGCTGAAACAAACACCCCCATGATCACGTGATGTCCCTTTGATAGGTAATAATTTTTTCTTTAAAAAAAAAGATATTTTTGATATAATGATTACATAATCCATATATTGTTTAGAGAACTTATTTGGGGATAAGGGGATAATATTGTTGTGTCTTCAAGGGATAGTAACCTGTTGTGTCCCTTGCAGGAGTTGATATGTTTTGAAAAAAAATAAAAATAAATGGTAAACTTAATTTTAATAATAAATTATATATTTTTAAGGCCTTGATCATGTAGTTATGAACGTTTGATTAACTTAATTTTTGTCATGATTACTCTACTCAACACATCATACAATATGAATGATTTAAATCATCAAAACAATCCCAATAACGACCTGGGAAAGGGGCATAGAAGTACTCCTGAGGGACTCTGGGAGAGGGGCACAAAAAGATGATGCGTCTATTTCAACCTATGAAAATCAAGTCAGGCACCACCTAGGCTTGTCCCAAAAGCAAAAAATAATTTCCCCACTAATCAACACAAACATATAGAGAGTGACAGTCTCATATCCACAAAATTGTAACACAAAAAAATACATAAAGAGTAATTTTATAATTTAGATTAATTTTAAAAAGAATTCACATAACATTCAAGATAGATCTTAATCATATATTACGCTTTTTGTATATTTTTTATGTTTTAATTATATACAATTTATCTTCTTTTTTTTCTTACAAAGAGAGAGTAGATGAATGAGGTGGTATGTGTGAAGAGTAGGGTTGAGAGAGAGAGAGACAGAGAGAGAGTAGATGAAAAGAGGTGGTGTGTGTGTGTGTGTGTGTGAAGAGTAGGGTGGAAATAGAAGGCAAGGAAAGGGGTGAGATGTGTGAGGTTAGCTATGCTCGTGGGGATGTGAAAGTCTGATAGATAGTAAAATGGATGGATAGTTTCTGTTCAACCCTCACATGATATCCAATTTCCCCCATCTAACTTCTTTCCATCACTACTTTTCCTGTCAACGTTCTCTCTTCCCACTACACAATCACCAACAACCATATTTTCCCCCCACTTACTGTTCAGAATTAATTGCAAAATAAAAGTTACGGACCAAAAAAAAATAGTCAAAATATAAAGTGTGTCGTATAGATTTAAACTTTACTATCTCGTTTGTAGGGGCCAGGAAGGAGGAACTAGGGTGGGCTCCATCTTCAACAACATCTTGGTGTATCTCACTTTTATAGATGCAATTTTTCATCCCATAAAATGGAACCCCAAACTTAATTCGGAAGAGGCAGGTTCACTTTGATGCAATTCTGCACACGGTTTTCCTTTGCCGATGTCATTCTTTTTGGTTTCATTAATAAAGATTATTATTATTATTATTATTATTTTTTTTTTTGCTGATAGAAAATAAGAAGAAAAAAATTGCCTGTAAATCTAAGTTGAGGAGTGCATTAGGCATCATGTCTAAGAATTAATGCGTTAGGCATAAGGTCACACAAGATCTCAAATCTTTGAATATATAGGTGTCTTTGAACAGATAAGTAACATCTGAACTGATAAATAGATAAACTTTGAACCAAAAGGTGTCTTTTTCACCCAAAAAGATTTAAATTTGGACCATCGACCCTAGGGTTTTAGAAATAGACCTCTAACCTGAGTCTCTTTACAAAAACCTTAATTTGGCACCCCAAAATTTTTAGAAATCTCATTATCTATAAGGATTGTCTTTCAAAATGTCTCATGACTCTAAAAGTTTAATATGAGAAAATAGTGTATTTAATTGGTGTGAAGTAATATTTAAAAAATTACTTCAAATTTGCTAGAAAAAGAAATTGATTGCTTATGTGGATTCATATGGTTTTTTAATTAGACCAAATATGAAACTTTATGGACCTAAGTAAATTGAATAGGACCACTTTTGGGTAACTTCATATAAGTTGAAGTTGTGTGTAGGGATGGAATCAGAATTTCATTATCGGAGAGGTTAAAAGAAAAATAATTTTTTTTTTTACCATATACATAAAACACACATGTATATATGATATATAAATTATATATACATAAAAAAAATTAAATACCGAAGTAATTTCTAATAAGACAAATAAGTTTTTTTGATGTAAAATAGAAAAAAAATTCAAGATGAAAGAAAAATGACATATATATTTTTTATACTGGGGTGTCATTTTATATATAAAATGATATATATATATATATATATATATTTAAAATTTTATGACAAACAATAATATTCACAGAAACAAGGAGTCATGACCCCCCATAATCTTCTCCTAATTCCGTCCCTGATGATATGGTACACAACCCAAAATGGGTGTGTATTATAGATTTTTTCTAAAAATAAACCGGTGTGTATTATAGATTTTTTCTAAAAATGAACAATGTAATTGTATGCGAAATTGCCGTCTATAACAAAAGTTTAAAAATATGACAAATTATCCATCAATCAAATCTTACAGTGTGTATAATTGGTCTTAAATCAATATTATATGATGGTCAAATTAAATATTGTTACATGTTAAAATGATATAGTTTTAACAAACAAGTATTTGGTTAATCAAATAATTCACTTCTCACATTCAAGCAAATTTTGACAATGATATTTTAATATTTATCTCCATACAAATAAAGCGATAAATATTAACAAAGTGATATTTTGATAATTATCACTAAATAAATAAATAATAATAATTATCAAAGAAATATGAAACTTCATAGAAACTATGAATTTTCACTCTTTCGAAACTTCAAAATTTGTCATATTTTAATATTTTGAAATTTCACTCTTTTTTTTTTGTTACATTATAAAAGTGATATTTCAAAATTTCGAAAATATTTTTTGAAAGTGTAAAATTTTATAATTTTGGACTCAAATGTGTGAATTTTTTATTTTTTTATATAATTTCATATTCAAAAAAATGAGGTTGTACACAAGCTATAGGTCATCTATGAGGGCCCAAAGCTCAACCCCTAGGCTCAATGAATTGTCTATGTTTCTTGGAAAATCACGAATTAGGCACCTTGCACTAGCTAAGCTTGAATTATCTTTAATTGTCCCATACGTAATGAGTTTGAAGGCAGGGCACGTGATGTTTTTGAAAGCACGGCCGGCCTGAATTCTATAAGGCACTAGACTATGTTTATACATATTTATCAAATAAAAATTTTGAATAATACAAAAATTTTGAGTGGAAGAAAAATATTATGATAAGAAAGAAAAAAAGTGAAGCAGGTTGCAAAACAGCTACTTGATTTGAAAAAAAGTTTTTTTTGTTTTGCCCTTTCAATTGGGTTAACTTTTTTTTATTGAGCAATGTTAGGTATTATGAAAAAAATTTTATGAAAATGATCATGAAAGATTTATGATCCTTGGATTACACTTAAAATAAAGCACCACACACTAATCAAGGTAATCCAAGAGTCATAAATCTTTCATGATCATTTTCATGAAAAATTTTTCATGATCCCTACCTTTTCTCTTTTTTATTTGTTTTTAATGTTGGCCTATAACATATTTGTGTTTGGACCTTTTTTTAGTGGGCTTTTTTATTTTGGAGGGCCTCTAACAATAATTGAGCATTTTTTAAAATTTAATGATATAAAGAATTTTTAAAATTTAAAAACCTATTTTGGGCCAAAATTGGAGGCTTTAGGCGCAAGCCTCACTTGGGATTCTATTTACATCCAAAAAATCATTAAGTATTTCCAATTTCAAAGTACAACCTATTTAATTATTTAAAACTTTATTTTACTCTCATTACGCCCTATTATTTTTTTCAAATTACCCTCAAGGTAAACTCAAATAATAAATAATAAACAAACTAAAAAAACTAAATTATTTCAAAAACTTTTCAATACAGAAAATAATTCTCAAATACAGGAAAAAAAAAAACCAAACTTATAAGCACATAAACATTATAAATATAGAAAAAAAAAAATCAAACTTTTACATAAGCATTATAAAACTTTTCACTATAGAAAAAAAAAACTTTTACATTATAAATTATTCGCAAAAATGCTCGTGAAAAAATAAAAACCAAACTTATAAGCACATAAGCATCATGCACTAATAAGAAAGAGTAGTTATCAAAAAAATGTACTATTTAAATGACAAAATAAGAATAACTCCAATAACATGTTATTGTTACTCTAACTACTGGGCTTTTTAATTTTTGTCAAAAAACGATATAGAAAATAATTGATGGTGCTCTACAAAAATTATGAAACCTCTTTATATGAATACTTACCCCATTTTTGATAGATTGCTTCAAAAAATTATTTTGATTATTACTCTCATCCATTATTTGATTTTATTCAAACTTTCTTCTAGTATTTAGGGTTTTAAAATAATAAAAAGCAATAATATTGATGATGATGATGAGTTTTGGTAGGGTGGTTGGAGTTTTGGAAAGAGGAAAAGAAGAAAATAATAAATAATTTTGATCTCTTGAGGAAGAAAATATAGAGATTTGAATAGAAATAACTGATTAGAGTATACCATGAGAGAAAAAAAATTATTTTAAAATTTAATATGTATTATCCTTATTAATAAAATCATATTAAGATATAATAAGAATTAAGAATTTATAAATTTATATTAAACGTACTAGACATATTTTAGGTTTAAATAGAATGCCCCGGCCTCACTGAGCATAGACCAGGCCAGCCCCGTTTGAAAGAACCAATATTTGGAGCCTAAGGCTAAAGTGCTAGTAAATGGAGTGGTTAGTAACCCAAGTGGTTTATCATGATGAAGTGCTTGGGGGAGATGAATGAAATGGGTTGATAACACTACTAAAAAAAAACACTTTTTGCGACCGTCACAAGCTGTCGTAAATAATAAAAATACAGTCGCAAAAAACTTTTTGCGACGGCTTATGCGACCGCAGATGGGGGACGCAAATGTGGGGGTGGCAAATACTTTTTGCGACGGCAAGGCAACGGTCGCATGAAACCTCTTTATATGAATACTTACCCCATTTTTGATAGATTGCTTCAAAAAATTATTTTGATTATTACTCTCATCCATTATTTGATTTTATTCAAACTTTCTTCTAGTATTTAGGGTTTTAAAATAATAAAAAGCAATAATATTGATGATGATGATGAGTTTTGGTAGGGTGGTTGGAGTTTTGGAAAGAGGAAAAGAAGAAAATAATAAATAATTTTGATCTCTTGAGGAAGAAAATATAGAGATTTGAATAGAAATAACTGATTAGAGTATACCATGAGAGAAAAAAAATTATTTTAAAATTTAATATGTATTATCCTTATTAATAAAATCATATTAAGATATAATAAGAATTAAAAATTTATAAATTTATATTAAACGTACTAGACATATTTTAGGTTTAAATAGAATGCCCCGGCCTCACTGAGCATAGACCAGGCCGGCCCTGTTTGAAAGAACCAATATTTGGAGCCTAAGGCTAAAGTGCTAGTAAATGGAGTGGTTAGTAACCCAAGTGGCTTATCATGATGAAGTGCTTGGGGGAGATGAATGAAATGGGTTGATAATCACGTTGGAAAAGCCTGAGGTTGCTTCAATTGCAATCAATTGCAAATGAACCAATTGTATTGGGCTTGGATATATTTTTTGTTTTTCATTGGGGATTGGGCTTAGATTGACTTGGAGAAATTTTCAACTGTCCATTACACTACACATGTCTTGTCCAACCCATTTATAATATATTAGACCTGAAATGGATTTAGTTAGGTTTGGTCGGTAGATGTGCCCCCACGAGTGAGATTTTTTATTTATCCATTCATTTTAGTGATTGATGAAAATTACACATCTTTTTTATTGGAACTTTTACTGGAATCCAATGTTCTAAATGAAGTTTTCTCATATCAAATAAATAAATAAGTTTACTACTTGGAAGAATCAATTAAAAAAATTGATAATGTTAACCCACATTAGAGGGAGTAAATAAAAAATTTGAATAAACTATTAATAAGTCTTAATAGATGAACTTAATTCCCATCAAGTCTTATTGAAAATAAGTTTTGATAAAATTGTCGCTAAAAATAATTTTTTTGTGATAATTTTTTATATATGTCGTTAAAAATTAACAATTAATAACTTTTTTTTGTTATGATTTTTTTAAATTGTCACTAAAACTTACAATTAATAACATTTTTTTATGACAAATTTTTTCTATATGACCTATTAGATAATAAGTCCATTTATTAGAACTTACACATAAATATCCCAAAAAATTATGAATGACACTACTTAAATCCAAAAAAAAAAAATTGATAATGTTAACTCACATTTCAACCAACCCTTTGCTTCATTGCATACAATCACATAGCCCTAGCAAAAATTAGGAGAGATTGTTTGGTGATGAGTAATGTTCTGCACCATCCACCTTTTTCTATTTTTTATTTTTAATAATTAGATATTCGGGTCAATTTGCAGGCACTATGACTAATTTCAAGATCCCAAAGTTAAGAATCTGACAAATCTCTAGTAGACACTTGGGGTGATTCGAACTTGAGATCTTAGATCTTATTATCAAGTCTTTATCGCTCGACCAACTTCTTAAGATTATACCATCTATCTTTTGACACATGTTTTTTAAAAAAATACTACATAGAAGTTTTGGGTTCCATTATTTCTACCAATAAAAATAAATGTTGGGCATCACATCATTTTGCCTCAAGAACGCTAAATAATTTTTCCCAAAATTAGAAAAAGAAAAACAAATATATATATATATATACAACACTACATTATTTCATGTTTGATTCACAAGATTAATAGTGAAGTATTAATAATCCTATTAAATTAGTGTGGTATTCACTATCCAATTGGATTAATATCCAATGGATTAATAATCCCACCCCTACCCCATTACTAATAATCCTACAAATTTGTTAGATTAATTATCTATTGGATTAATAATCCTAAACCAAAATGTTAAAACAAACCTAAGATAATTAGGCCCATGGATTAATAATCACAATCTCATACTCTAATCTACTCAATCAAACATGCCCAGATGGATATACATGGATTAAAATTCATTCAATTCGATTCCTTATTAATATGTGCAAATCCTTGCTTAAAGCTTCTTTGTCGGACCACTTTTGATGTTTGATCCAAATAAAATAAAAATAAAAATAATTTAAGGAGTGAATTTAGAAACCTCCCGAGTCAAAACCGCATCAAAGATGCTAATGCTGAAAGATTTCCAATGTAGTACTTCAAACATTAGTGTTGGCTCAGGATTTGCCATGCTTTATGAGCAATTGATCACACAATATTGCCACTCATTGCAAGCTATTAATTATACTAGATAGAAATGTTATTTATCCCCACACACACGCAAAATCTAAAATTGGAATCTACAGTATTGATTTAAATTTGGTGTAATATAAATCAAATCAAAAATAAATCTGATCTATACATTTTAAATTCTGATTAATTTTTAATTAGTATTTAGATCATTTTAAATTTTTGATTAATTTTTAAATAGTATTTTTTATTTTATTTTATTTTAAGAACGTAGCATTGTTGTAATTGCAAAACTTCAATCTTCCATATGGCTAGCAAAAAGCAATAACTCATGTATGAAATAAGAAGCAAGAGAGGCCTTAATAATTTGCTAATACACATTGAAATAATTCAAAATTTGAACATTCTCATATCTCACCACCTACTTCTTTGGTAGTGACATTAAGCTTTAACCAAGCTCTAACAAACAAATGGTATAATATATACATTTGTGTGAGCAAAGAAATGGCAAAGTAAATCAAAACTAAAATAAATAAACAAATAAAAATTGGGTGGGTAAATAAATGTTCATGGACAAATGATGTAGCTCTGAGGGTTAGAGAGCTGGTTGTGCTGATAAGGGCCGAGGCTGTTATGGCATGGGGATGGCCCAGAAGGCGGCACGGGCCCTCTAGGAAACTCGTTTTCGTACAAGCTCTTGAAATCTCTGCTTTCCTTGATTGCTCGAGCGCACTCTCCTCTTGATGCCAATGATGAAACCATGATGAAAACAACAAATGCAAACCTTATTAAACCCATAATAAGAGATCTCCTTAAAACAGACATGGTTGCTTTGTTCTTCCTCTTCCTTATTGTTTGCGTGAATTACAAAATGTACATGTGTAATTGAAGCCTATGTATGCATATATATATATATATATATAGAGAGAGAGAGAGAGAGAGAGAGAGAGAGAGAGAGTGTTGAATTAGAAAGCCGTTTGTATTGGACTTGGAGGAATATAAAAGTATGTTATACATGAATTTCAACATAAAGTATGTTTGTTGGGTGTAAATTTTCTATTTTTTGCGTTTTGAGGACTTTGAAGTGAGTTCAAAAGTCATTTGTTCAACCATTGCGCAATAGCAGCAGCCAATGTAGAAAACAAAAACAAAAAAACATTCTCGTCTTTGGACTAAAATATTTTACATTTTTGGTCTCTAAATTACACATTTTGTGTTAATTTCATTGCTGAATTATTAAAACTTCATTTGTTTGGACATAAAAAAATATTTTATTTTATTTCTGATGTTTAGTTTACACTTGAAACAAAAAAGAAAAAACTTTCTACTCTATGCATTAAATAGAAACCAGAGTCACTCTTTAACCTTTGTGACGATCAATGTGCTGAAAAGGGTTAAACTGAAAGTGAACATCTAAAAAATTAACTTATTGGGGGGACATATTTTTTGAATAGCAACACGTGACCACGGTGGCACCCGGAGTGCCAGCAGAGGTGCCACGTGTCCTTGACTTGACGCAAAGGTAATCTTGGCTAGGCCGAGATTATCTACGGAGAAACCGAAATCCGAGATGAGCAGATAAGTTATAAGAGTCCTAAGATGAGGGAAGACCTCAGCCTAGATAAAGATAAAATAGATAAAGATAAAACTCTTAGGGAGTTTATCTTTATCTATTTAAGAGTCCTGAATAGGCATTGAGTCAGAGTCCATTGAAGTTAGGCTTCTCCGAGGATCAAGTCAATGCTGGTTATAAAAGTAAGGCACCCTCGTGGGTCTAAGGTACGCTTTTTGCATTCTGGCTAGTGAGTGAAGCACTAATTATTATCTTTGAAAGATAATTGAGTATTCACTTGATCGTCGGAGTCCCCTCGAGTGGAAGAACCACCGCCGGAGTCTCATATTTCTGTTTTAGGTTATTCGAGCGAAATTTATTATGTCGTTGTTCTCCAGCTGAGTACCTGTTTGGCAGTATGGTCAAAAAATAACACACACAATTTGGCGCCGTCTGTGAAAAAAAAATGAGAATAGATAGCCAACGACGGATAGAAAGAGAAGATTGGGGACGACATCCCTACTGGAAGTGGTAAACACTTTGATCTCAGCGTAGAGGAGGATAACTGCAACAAAGAAACTCGGTATCAGAATCCCAGAGAGAAGGACGTCGGCCATGAGGGAGATGTACCAAAGAAGGCAGACCGAGGCAGGTATTATAACGAGAACGACCTCCAAGTACGGAAAGATAGATGCTTGCGGAGGGACGAAGAGATGAAGGGAATGGCGGATAAATTGGCGGACCTGCAATCAGTCGTCAATTTCATGATACAGAACGTCATGCAGCCACCATTCCCGTTACAAGACACGCCAATTCTAGCGGCCAAGAAAAATGCCCAGAAGAGGGGGAGAAAACAGTCCTTATAGTCCCCCAGCACACCAGGACCAAGGACCACTCTCACTGGCCTTCAAGGGAGGTCAGGCGAGGAGAGTCAATGAAGGGAGATTCGCGGAGGACGCATCGTACCAAAGAAGCTGACCCCAAAGAACGTCGGCATGTTTAAGGGAAGGAACTTTGTTTTGACGCAACTAATGGAGAGAGATCCAACAGGACTCATAACAACACCGGGAGTAGCCCACCAAAAAGGCTGAAAACCGTTGATAGCCAAACTCCTGGACAGACTAAGGAGGATCTGAGGGATTACCTCTAAAGGAAGCGACAAGATGCTGAGGTAACCTCTCCGGTCAAGCCGAGAACGCCATTCTCAGTGGAGTTGGACAAATTTGAGGCCCCGAAAAGGTTCCACATGCTGAGGTTCCAGATATACCACGGTAAGTCTGATCCTAACTTTCACGTCGGCTTGTACCTGAACTCAATGGCACTGTACACCAGGAACGAGCCGTTACTTTGCAAAATGTTTCCTTCATCCTTTGGGAAAATCGCATTAGACTGGTTTCACAAGTTGCCGAAAGGAACTGTGAAAAGCTGGGAAGACTTGGCCGAGATGTTCGTGGCCAAGTTTGTGACAAACAAACTACAGCCGTTGAGGGTGGACTCCCTGATGGCTTTAAGGATAGGCGAGAATGAAAGCCTTAGGGCTTATGCCAAGAGGTATTATGAGGTATTCAACCGGATACCAGGATGCAACCAAGAGGTGGTGGTAGTGTCTTTTAAGTATGGCCTGAAAGATAATTGTCTGCTTCGAAAATCACTAGCAAAGACACTACCAAAAAGTATGGAGGAACTTATGGTCAGGATAGAAAAGTATGCCAAGGCCGAGGAGGACACGCCGGGGACAAAGGCGTCAAAACAAGAGAAGAGAAACAGCTCGCCAAAGCGAGACCGAGGTAATGGTGGGTATAATAAGCAAGAGACAGGATTGAGGGCCACACAGACAGTGACGACCGTATTCCAAATTCTGGTCTACAAAGTCTTGGAGAGAATCCGAAATCAGCCCTATTATAGAGCACCAGAGAGGATTCCTGGCGAATTTATGGCGAATTTATGAAAACAACAAATCCAAACCTTATTAAACCCATAATAAGAGATCTCCTTAAAACAGACATGGTTGCTTTGTTCTTCCTCTTCCTTATTGTTTGCGTGAATTACAAAATGTACATGTGTAATTGAAGCCTATGTATGCTTATATATATATATATATAGAGAGAGAGAGAGAGAGAGTGCTGAATTAGAAAGCCGTTTGTATTGGACTTGGAGGAATATAAAAAGTATGTTATACATGAATTTCAACATAAAGTATGTTTGTTGGGTGTAAATTTTCTATTTTTTGCGTTTTGAGGACTTTAAAGTGAGTTCAAAAGTCATTTGTTCAACCATTGCGCAATAGCAGCCAATGTAGAAAACAAAAACAAAAAAACATTCTCATCTTTGGACTAAAATATTTTACATTTTTGGTCTCTAAATTACACATTTTGTGTTAATTTCATTTCTGAATTATTAAAACTTCATTTGTTTGGACATAAAAAAATATTTTATTTTATTTCCGATGTTTGGTTTACACTTGGAAAAAAAAAAAACACTGTCTATTAGATGCATTAAATAGAAACCAAAGTCACTCTTTCACCTTTGTGACGATCAATGTGTTGAAAAGGGTTAAACTGAAAGCGAACATCTAAAAAATTAACTTACTGTGGGGACATATTTTTTGAATAGCAACACGTGGCCAAGGTGGCACCCGGAGTGCCAACCGAGGTGCCACGTGTCCTTGACTTGACGCCGAGGTAATCTTGGCTAGGCCAAGGTTATCTGCGGAGAAACCGGAATCCGAGATGAGCAGATAAGTTATAAGAGTCCTAAGACGAGAGAAGACCTCAGCCTGGATAAGGATAAAACTCTTAGGGAGTTTATCTTTATCTATTTAAGAGTCCTGGATAGGCATTGAGCCAGAGTCTATTAAAGTTAGGCTTCTACGAGGATCAAGTCAATGTTGGTTATAAAAGTAAGGCACCCTCGTGGGTCTAAGGTATGCATTTTACATTCTGGCTAGTGAGTGAAGAACTAATTATTATCTTTGAAAGATAATTGAGTATTGACTTGATCGTCGAAGTCCTCCTGGGTGGAAGAACCACCGCCGGAGTCTCATATTTCTGTTATAGGTCATTCAGGCACAATCTATTCTGTCATTGTTCTCCAACTGAGTACCTGTTTGGCAGTGTGGTAAAAAAACAACACACACAATTTGGCGCCGTCTGTGGGAAAGAAAGGAGAATAGATGGCCAACGACGGATAGAAAAAGAAGATTTGGGAGGACATCCCTACTGGAAGTAGTAAACACTTTGATCCCAGCGTAGAGAAGGATAACTGCAACGAAGAAACTCGGTTTCAGAATCCCAGAGAGAAGGACGTCGGCCATGAGGGAGATGTACCAAAGAAGGCAGACTGAGGCAGGTATTATAACGAGAACGACCTCCAAGTACGGAAAGATAGATGCCTGTGGAGGGATGAAGAGATGAAGGGAATGGCGGATAAATAGGCGGACCTGCAATCAGTCGTCAATTTCATGATGCAAAACGTCATGCAGCCACCATTCCCATTACAAGACACGCCAATTCTAATAGCCAAGAACAATGCCCACAAGGGGGGGAGAAAACAGTACCTATAGTACCCCAGCACACCAAGACCAAAGAACACTCTCACTGGCCTTCAAAGGAGGGCGGGCGAGGAGAGTCAATGAAGGGAGATTCTCGGAGGACGCATCGTACCAAAGAAGCTGACCCCAAAGAACGTCGGCATGTTCAAGGAAATGAACTTTGTTTCGACGCAACTAATGGAGAGAGATCCAACAGGACTCATAACAACACCGGGAGTAGCGCACCAAAAAGGCTGAAATCCGTTGATAGTCGAGCTCCTAGACAGACCAAGGAGGATCTGAGGGATTACCTCTAGAGGATGCGACAAGATGCCGAGGTAACCTCTCTAGTCAAGCCGAGAATGCCATTCTCGGTGGAGTTGGACAAATTTGAGGCCCCGAAAAGGCTCCACATTCCAGATATACCACGGTAAGTCTGATCCTAACTTTTACATCGGCTTGTACCTGAACTCAATGGCACTGTACATCGGGAACGAGCCGTTGCTTTGCAAAGTGTTTCCCTCATCCTTTGGGGAAATCGCATTAGACTGGTTTCACAAGTTGTCGAAAGGACTGTGAAAAGCTGGGAAGGCTTGGCCGAGATGTTCGTGGCCAGGTTTGTGACAAACAAACTACAGCCGTTGAGGGTGGACTCCCTGAAGGCTTTGAGGATAGGCGAGAATGAAAGCCTTAGGGCTTATGCCAAGAGGTATTATGAGGTATTCAACCGGATACCAGGATGCAACCAAGAGGTGGTGGTAGTGTCTTTTAAGAACGGCCTGAAAGATAATTGTCTGCTTCAAAAATCACTAGCAAAGACACAACCAAAAAGTACGGAGGAACTTATGGTCAGGATAGAAAAGTATGCCAAGGCCGAGGAGGGCACGCCGGGGACAAAGGCGTCAAAACAAGAGAAAAGAAATAGTTCGCTGAAGTGAGGCCGAGGTAATGGTGGGTACAATAAGCAAACGATAGGATTGAGGGTCACACAGGCAGTGAGGACCGTATTCCGAATTCTGGTCTACAAAGTCTTGGAGAGAATCCGGAATTAGCCCTATTATAGAGCACCAGAGAGGATTCCTAGCGAATTTATGGGAAGAAGTCAGGGGAAACATTGTGCCTACCACAACAAGGATGGACATCTAACTCAAGGGTGCAGAGCCCTAAAGGCACATCTGGAAGACCTGGTAAGACAAGGTCATCTAAGGGACCTGGTAAATGAAACCAGGACAAGGGAAGAGCAAGCGAGATTGCCTCAGGCACCGGCAGTACCACCTCCACCAGCACCGCAACCGCAAGCAGGCGGACCTCGAGTGATCAATGTGATTCACTCGAAGGTCAATGAAAACGAGATATGCGGGGAAACTCAGAAGGTAAAACACCTGCAACATGTGTATCAGGTCCGGCAGAAGAGACCTAGGGCAGACGAATGCCAGGGACCGGTGGTGTCCTTTACTGAAGATGACCTAGAGATGGTGCAACATCCACACAACGATGCCTTGGTAGTATCCCTCCGGATTGGAGAGTGCCAGGTGAAGCGGATTATGATCGACTAAGGTAGCTCTTGTGACATCATGTATGTCAGGTGTTACAAGGAGCTTGGCCTTCACCAAGATGATCTGGAACAATCCAATGGTCCAATGTTCAATGGAACACCGACGTGGCCTCTAGGAATAGTAAGTTTGGAGGTGCAGGCTGGCACCAAGAGGGTAAAAACTGAGTTCACAATAATTGACACTCCCTCCCCTTACAATGCTATCCTAGGAAGGCCATGGTTGCATACAATGAGGGTTGTTCCCTCAACATTGCACCAGCTGTTGCAATTCCCAACAAAACATAGAATTGAGGAGGTCAGAAGGGATCAAGTGCAGGCAAAGAACTGCTCCACGACAACAATGAAATCCACCTGCAATATACGAGAAGCAGAAGCAGCAGAGATTGAGGATGAGGATATGGAAGTCCTTGAGGATGTCGGCAAAGAACTAGCCGAGAAAAGTGAGGAAGCCCTGAAGAAGATGTTAGTCCAGCAAGGGGATGAAGAGCGTTTCTTCCTTCTCAGCTCAGGATTGGCCAAGGAAGAGAAAAAGGAATTAGAAGCATTCTTGAGAGCAAACCTTGAGGTGTTTACCTGGACACCGTACGAGATGACTGGCATTGACCCCGAGGTCACTTGCCATAAATTGAATGTGGACAGGTCGGCTAAACCTATCATCCAGCGAGCAAGAAGGCCGACGTTGATGCATGTTGAGGCAGTAGAAGAGGAAGTGGATAAACTTCTGGAGGCCAGAGTCATACGAGAGGTAAACTACCCGACATGGTTATCAAACACGGTTATGGTGAAGAAAAAGAATGTGAAGTGAAGTGTAATGACCCCAAAACATGTGTCATATTTATCAGTAATTAATTATGTGTTTATGCGAATTAATTGAAGAATATCTGTTTGAATTAGAAGAATATCTGTTGAGATGAGAACTTTGGGACTGAAATTGATGACCGTAATGGGTTCAGAAAACAAAATTGAGCGCGTCTATGAGATACCGGGAATTATTAGAACCATTTGGGAAAATAAATTGAGGACTGAATTTCGTCTGAATCGCTAAGTCATGTTTGGCTCAAGATTATGGCACAATTCTAGTTTTTTTTTTGTGTGTGATATATCTATACATAGATAAGGATGTTGACTCTTTGACTCAAAAAGAAGAAAAGAAAAATCTAGAAAGAGAGAGAGGGGAGAATTCGTGAGAAAGGGGAAGAAGGGGAAAAAAGGGGAATCAAGCTACAACTTCTCCAATTAAGTGCTTAAGGTAAGAATTTCTTCTCTACTTTCTTGAAATAAGGTTGAATCATCAATGATCTCGTGTTAAATAAGAGGATTGAAAGGAGAAATATGTTTAATTTGAGCTTGTATGGCATGAATAGATGATTTATGTTTATATTTGGCATTCTTGAGGAAGAACCTCCATGGATATGAAGAAATAAAGCTTTTACATGAATAGTTATGATTCTTCACCTCAATTCATGGTTTGATCTTGTATATGATGCATTTGGGTTTGTTTAGAAGTTATAATGTGTAATTCAAGTTGTGTTTCAAGTGTTTTGAGACTTGGGTTTCATCGTGTGGAAGTGGTTTTGCAAAAAAAAAGGAAAGATTCAAGCTTTGGAAGATTTTAGAATTTCGGATTTTTGCATGGTCCGCTCGAGCGGAGGGATTCCCGCTCGAGCGTAAAAATCAGCCTCCCAGCAGTTTTGGGACTTTTTACAGTACGCTCGAGCGGCCAAAGTGGCGCTCGAGCGGGAAGGCCTTTTTCAGGAAAATTTTGGGAAAGTTGCAGACTTTATTTTAACATGTTAATTGCATCATTTATCATCTTATAAACATGAAATTTCATAAGGAAATGAGAGAATGGCATGAATTAAGTGATTTAATGATAATGTGTACTGAAGAAATGTGTTATAATGTTGATAATTGCAGGTCAAGAGGCGAAGACTGTGCAACCGGTTTTGGAAACCCACT